ATGATAACTAGCCTTACTGTGGTAATCTTTTTGTAATGTATAAAAATATTGAATCATTATGTTGTACCCTTGAAACTAATATAATACTGTAAGTCAACTATACTTCAGTTAAAAAAAAAACACAAGGACATTCTCTGACCTCCCCCCAGCACAGCCTCAAAGTCGGGCAGGGAACGCTGACGCACTGTGATCCCCTCAGCCCTCTCCCCTCATTCACGCTCTCCTGGGGTCCTGTGACGCCCTTGAGAGCAAACTGTCCTGCTCAGAATCAGGTCTCTGGACTTGCCCTATATACATCCTCCTCACACCCCAGAATCAGCAATAACTCCTTCATATCTTCAAATACCCCTGAGATCATCAAACTTCCCCTACCGTCCTAGCACTGTTTGTGTTTTCCTAGTTTGTCTACCAGAATAACAAATATAGTCTACAGACTGCGATAGCTGGCGTCTCAATTCCCTTTTACCATAGGTTCCCCCACCACCTTTTCTTTTCTTACAAACTTTCTGTGCAAGAACCAGGCTATTTGTCCTGAGGAGTTGCCCCTAGACCAAAGGACGCTGTCTGGGTCCCCATTTGTCATTTAAGATGTTCCTCTGTCCCCTGCATTTCTATAAATTGGTATTAGTTCTACAGGATTAATCCAACTCAAATTCTTTTTCTTTCTTTCTTGGCAAAACTTCCTCAAGGACAGCAGTGTGTTCTTCCACCAGGGGGCATACATCCGCTTGTCTCTTTTTTGTAACATCAGCACCTGTGGATTTTCATCGCCGAGATCCCTTAATTCATTAGGGGTTGCACACTGGTGTTATTTGGATTCCACCTCTCCTTCGTTTATTTTTTCTCTAAAGAGAAACTCACCTTCATCAGCTCTCGACCACCCTCTGGCAGGGAAGGGTCAAGGTGTGACTCTTGCTCTTTGTGAAGTTTTCCGAAGAAAGAGTCAGGTCCCAGCACCCTCGCTCATTCTACAGCAATGTGCTTCTCCCCAGCACCACACTGAGACATGCGCATTTGGCTGTCTCACTCCTCCGAGCTTCTATCCTCGTGGACGCTTCTCCACTTACGTTGTTGAGCGCCAACACGAGCCGGGCGCAGAGCAGGCAGACAGGAACCCTGGCGAATGTAAGGACACCAACGCCACACTCAGGGTCAGTTTCCCTGTTGGCCCTGACCTGCCAATCAGCATCGCCACAGGCACGGTGTGGCGAAAAAGGTGGGCATGGAACTCAAGGTGGGCAGGGGCTGGGCAGGGCCGTCCCGTCTCTGCATCTTCCTTCTTATCCCAGCTTTGACACGAAGCTAATCTCAGGCACCAATTCATCTCAGGCTCTCTCTGCTCTGGGACGAGGGCTGTCTTCAGTCCTTTGGAATGTGAGGAGACTCGCCCCTCCTCTGCCCCCACACACGCATACCAGTAGGCCAGCGCTCTAAAATAACATGCTGAGCTTTGCAGAGATGAAAACATGGCATGAATTATGTAAGGCGCGTCCCAGCGCTGGGGCTTCTTATGTAACAAAAGCCACCGAGTGCTCGGGGAGCAGCGGGTGTGTTAGAGAACAGAAGCCAGCCTCAAGTCTCCCACTGCCAAACTGGGAAAATCCGAGAATTAAAATAAGTGACTAACGGACTATAACCCACTGGATAAGACGAGAAACCATAAGCCACTGAGATAAGTAAATCAACAAATAAATGGAAAGTTTGATGCAAAACTGGGTACAGTATTGGAGTCCCCAAGTCCCTCCCCACAACAGACTTAACCACTCTCACGAGACCGCTCCGTACCAGAACACTGGAAACCCCGTGGCCCGGGCAGGACGCAGGGATAACCAACATCGATTCTATGATGCTCCTGCCCAAGAGGCGTCACCTGAGACTAGACGAGAGGACCCGTCAGAAACCCACAGTGGGGGGCGTCCTGCAAGATCACTGGCCTGAGATGTACGCAGTGTCGGGGTCCTGAGCATCAAGCAAAGATGGAGGAACAGGTCCAGCTGGAAGGGGACTAAAGAGGCCAGGGATGGGGTCCCACAGGCCTGAGGGTCAGATGGTAGCGAGGTGCCATGCTAATTCTCTGACTTGATGGTTAAGTGAGAGAACGTCTCTGTCATCGGAAATGCACCCTCAAGCATTCAGGGTGACAGGCATCAAGCCAGCGCACACTCTCAAATGGTTTGGGGGGAAAACGCTCTCTGTATTTGCAACTCTTCTGTAAGTTTGGGATTGTTTTGGCAGGAAAAGCAACATAATCCCCATCACAGCTCTGTTACTCCCATTTCACAGGTGGGTAAATGAAGGCTCAGGGTGCTTACTGCCTGCCAACGTCACACACTTGGTTAAGCCATGTCTCCTGAGAAGAGTCACCTCCTGGGGCCCCAAGGGGGAGCAGGCGGGGACAGGGGTGGGATGGGCTGGGCGGGCCTCCCTCAGTGTGCACACCCCTGCACAGGGGCCAGGCAGGATCTCCATGGGTGAGCAGAGGGCACTGCTGGGCCATCACGGTCCGCTCTGACCAGCTGCTCTGCTGCGGCAGGGCCACCGCACGGGCTTACAGGGGAAGTAGCACCAGCGAGCGCCCGCCAGGAGCTGTGCCCATGAGCGGATCTCATCGAAAGAGGGGCCCCCCATCCCCCGAGGTGGGAACGGAAAACGGTGTGGCCGCTGTGGAACACAGCCTGGCAGTCCTTCCAGCAACTACACACGGTCACCTCCCCTCCTGGCCCAGCAACTCCACTCCCAGATATACACCCAAGAAATGAAAAGAGGTCCATGCAGAAGCCCATACAGGAATGTTCACGGCCACGTTATCGGTGGGGAAGCGCCCGACAGACAAATGGATAGACAAACTGTACGGATTGTCTATCCCTACAATGAGTCAGCCATGAAAGGAAGGAAATGCTAGCCCACGCCACAACATGGGCGAACGCTGCCACACACTCAGTGAAAGGAGCCAGACACAGAGGACCACATCCTGTGTGATTCCACTTATTTGCAAGTCCCAAATCAGGAAATCTGTGGAGACTGAAAGTCCATCAGTGGTTGCCCGGGGCTGGGGTGGGGATCAGGGTGGGGGTAGGGGGTGAGAGCCAAGGGACAGCAGGTGTCTTTTTGGGGTGAAAGTGTTCTAAAATCGACTGTGCTGATGGTTACACAACGCTGAATATACTAAAAACTCCTGGTCTGTACACTTAAAGTGGGTGAATTGTCTGGCATGTGACTTCTCTCTCAAGAGAGCTGCCTTAAAAAACTAACACATAGGGAAATAAAAACTACACCAACTTTTGAACACAAGCTTTTTGAGGGCACAGTGGTAGGCAGTGAGTTCAGTTTCCTCACAGAGTTTTACCCTTTTGCCCAAGGAGCACAGTTCCTGCTGGGGGAGAAATGCTGCCCATCAGACACAAGGCAACTGCAATCAGTCAACAGCCGTGAGCACCGAGGTTCTGTCCTGAGCATATGCAGCTGGTTAGGTGAGGGCTCTGAAGACAAAGGACAGGTTTACCTAACGGGCCTGAAAACAGAACAGAAAATGCCAGTGGTGGTATAGCCAAGGAAGGGCTCTGGTTAAGAACTTAGTTAGGTATGACTGCCTTTTCTCCCCTCCAGAAATTTCTATAGGAGAGCTGTTTCCTTACTTTTTGTTCAAAGTAATTTCAACAAAAACAACACAGCATACTACACACACGCACACGTGCAGTGCTGACAGCAGCAGCGCCCTCCCTCCCAGGGTCCCTGTGGGGAAGAAGGGAGGGCTCGGGAGCATCAGCCAGGTCACGGCGCCCCCTTACCGAGCTCTGCCCACCAGCAGCGTGTGTGGACGTCTTCTCAAGGCGCTCTGGGAAATGGAAGCATGAACTCCAAGAGATGACTGCTGCTGACCCTTCTCCTCGTCCCCAACCCTGTTCCCCCGAGCCAGCCTACTCGCCCACCTGTGGGACTGGGGGGAGGGGTCCGCCAAGCGCTGGCTCCCTGGGGTGGAAGACCAGGGTTCAGTTCAGCCTCTGTGGGTCCTCCCCAGGCGGAGCCTCTCACCCCCACACCATGGCCCAGCAGTGGTCCGGCTGGCAGACCGAGACAATGCCCATCTGTCACCTGGGCAGCCCTCGGCCACGGCTGCAGCACTGCCTGGAAGCCACCACGGGCCCACAAGGCACCAAGCTGTTTCTGTTTTCCCTCTAGTTGGGATTCTCAGGCCAGGGGCTCCTCACAGCACCCTCCATCCTGGAACATGCCTCCCCTACGGCGCTCTGGTCAGGGTCCAGCAAACGTGCGGCTGCCTCGGACCCTCCAGGATCGAGCAGCAGGGCTGAACCAAAGCTAAAGGAGCTGAGGAGAGGCGTGCAGGGCCTGGCGGGTCTTGCCAGTGGGACGTCAGATCGGGTTCCAACTCCAGGTCATAGAAGACAAGGGGTGAGCCAACTGCCCTGCCTCGGACACATCAGCCCCAAGCCACGGGCGACAGAGCTCCGGCTCACCGGCAACTCTGAGCACAAAGTTGTAAAGTGGGAAGAAACAGAGCCTGTTCACACACCCACTAACACCGGCGTCTTCTTCCAGATTCTGTTTGAGAAACGTTCAAACAGATTTTCTTCCACAGAAATGGGTATAAGATATAAACACCGCTTGGGAACCAGCACCTGTCAATTCACACCACTGGACATCACCCTGCACAAACGCACCAGGGGCAGGACTGTGTGTGTAAGCCGTAGGTAGCATTTATTTTTGGGCATCCAGCAGAGCGTGTGGCCTGTCCCCTGCAAGGGCAGGCTGTCTGTGGGGGAGGTCCAGTCTCAGGGGTTTCCTGGCCCGGCCGAGGTCGGCACAGGGCAGCGCTCTCTGGGACACGGGCACTAAGTGCTGCCTTCCCGACACAGCGAGTCAGGAAGCAGTCAGCGTCCAGTCTCGGGAACACAGCCCGACTGCCCCATTTCCTCATTCAACCGGGCACAAACCGGGAGGCATGCGGAGAGTGCCCTTGCCCGTGCCAGGCCTGGTGGGCATCACTTCCGGCTCTCCAGGGGCCGCTGCTTCTTCGTCTCTGGCCCCCGGCCATCGGCCACCTTCACTTTGGCCCCCACCCGAGGCCGCCGCCTCCTCATGCGAGCCCCTCTCCTGCCTCGGTCCCTGGGCTGCTCCTGGGGCGCAGCTGGGTCAGCAGCCGCGCCCGGCCGCCGCCTCCTCGTCCCCTCAGATCCGGAGCTCAGGTCTGGCGGGTCCTCCTTTCCACCTTTCCCTGAAACAGCAAGGCCATGTGAACGAGGCCCGGCGAAAGGCCTGGTTCTTTCATGTCGATTCTCTGAGGTGCCAGCTTCAGGGCAGCACAGAGGACACACAAGTGCCCACACGGAAGTCCCACGCCTCAGAAGCAGACCCACACCAGCCTACTGGGGTCCTGCGCCAGTGTGGGTGTTGAGCCCCACAGCCGTCAGGCAGGTGTGAAATCTATGCCAGCTCCCCACACCGGGCAGGCTGACTGGAAGTGGGTTCCCAGAAACACCAGCATGAGGACAGAATCAGGAGAAAGGGGAAGTGGCCAGCAAACGAATGACAGAGGGGTGGACGAGCCCAGGCTCACTGCACGTGGGGGGTGGGGGGAAGTGACACTGGTCAGAAGAGGCAGGCTGGGAGAGCAGGGCCCGGAGCTTTGACTCAACTCGGTGCACAACAGAGCCATGAGACAGCATTCGGGGGCTAGCGTGGCATCAGTGTGCAAGCTAGTCTAGCGCCTGCTGTGGGGGCCGAGGTGTGAAATGACCTGGACCACAGAGGCCTGCACTGGAGGAGGGGTGATTCGAGAAACCCTTCAAAGGGCAAAGCCACGGGACTTGGGGCCAGTTTAGCACATGTGGGACGACAGGGGAGGGTTCTCAGCTGAAGCTGGGGCCACCATCTCTCCCCCTTGTGCACCCCCTTCCAGCCATGGGTGCCCCCAGCCCCTGCCCTGCCTGGTTCTGTGGGCACAGCCCATCTCCCCTGCGCAGGCAGCCCCACACCCCCAGTCTGCAGTGGGCACGGGCACCACGGTGTGAGAGAAGCACAGGCAGCCCTTAGCAGAGGCAGTCACACTCCACCCATACTCCTGTAGACAAGTAGGGGAGGGAGGCAGGAGAGGAGGAGAAGGGACCAAGGGAAGCCTCTGAAATCAAGGAGGAGAGTACAGCGAGGTTAAAAGAGCTCTACAGGACACTGAAGGGGAAGGAGTGGCGCATGGGCTCAGACCAAAGACGCAAAAGGCTCAGGAAGAGGCGCCCAGACCAGAGCTGCAGACAAGGAGAGTGGGGAAGACAGCGAGCAGCCCACAGGCCAGCCAGCAGAAGCCCAAGGCCCCGACACCACATAGGGCAGCCCCCACTGCTGCAGGGCAGCTGGTCCAGAGCGCCACGTCTCCAGGACATATGGGCAGCGGGCCCTGAGGGCCGCCAGGACAGGAGAGGGGATTCACACCTGGAGGCCAGCCTCAGGGAGATGCGTCCCAGGTGAGCATGAGCGTGGGGGCCGACGGCAGGTAAATAAGCTCCCTACCTGTCAGGAGACACTGCTGGTCCTACCTGTCTTGTTCTGCAACCGGGATTTGCGCAAACGCTTCTTGGCCTTTCTCTCCCGCCTCCCTTCTTGCAGACTCCTGTAGGCTTTTTCTGGGACATCGTCCTCAGGGAAGACACCTAAGGACCAAGGCAGATGATCAGGAGGCTGAGGGCAGGCCCGATAATTTCGGTTTGCATGTTCACCGCTTCAGATGGCCCCCAAAACAACACCCACCACAGCCGTACCCAGAGCTAAACCGCGCTGTCAGTAAGTCGGGAAGAGCCGACTCGTGGAGCATTTACGATACATCACAGTCTACTGCTTAAAAATGCTTATGCTGGGAAGGGGCACGGAGAAGATTCTGGGGCAACGGTAATGTTCCCTATGTTGATAAGGGTATGAGTTACCCAAGTCTACGCATTGATCAAAACTCACCAGATATACACAATACCGATGCATTTCATTGTATGTAAATTTTACCTAAACAACACTGGACTTTAGTTCATGAGAGCACGAAGTATTTACAGTCTGAGAGAGGGAGGGAGGGTTCGATGGGTAGATACATGACAAAACAAGGAGAGTAAAATGGTAATGGCAGGATCGAGGTGGTGGGTATGCAGGCCTTCACTGTAAACTCCTGTCTACTTTGCCATAAGTTTAAAATTATTCATAATGAAATACAGGGTGGGGGGGAAATGCTTACATCTTCAATCACAGATCTAGGAAACTGCCTTTCAGAATAAGCCATCCCAGTTCCATCAGTCACACACTGAATAGTGGAGTTTGCTGCACAGCAGACCAGCAGCAACCGCATGCCTGGGAACTTACTAGAAACACAGATTCTCGGGCCCCACCCTGCTCTAGGGCCCAGCCCTGATCTTCACAAGCCTCCTGGGGATTCTCATGCACACTCAGGTCTGAGAACCATGGAGCTGAACTACGACGAGAGCTACAGAATCTCTCAGCCCACCTCTCTCCCACAGAAACCCCCCCAGCTCTGTGCAGAGACGATTCACGCCGTGAGGGTGAACACACGACCAATCCCCTCCCAGGAGGATGAGATGCCTTCTAACTCAGGGCAGTCTCAGTGTGCGGAGAGATGCTTACCTTCTGCAAGGTCCTGCAACCTGAAAGAATGAGAGAGGGTCACTCACCACGGCTACGGCTCCTGGAGGAGGAAGGAGGCTGCACCCAGAGAAGGCGGCCACTGCACTGGGGGCCGCCCTCAGTGAAACCCCCCGCCACCCAAGCTCTGAGGATAAGGACTGCCCTCCCTCCTGGCTCAGGCCTCTTGAGAGAGGGATGGGGGCCAAGCGAAGGCGCCCGGGGCTGATGAAGCAAGGGGCAACTCCAAGGGCGGCGGAAGGACGCCAGCCACCTTCGGAGAAACACTTACTTTCGGATCACCTTGTAGAGACGCTTCCTGTTCTGAGAAGGGGTGCTCTGGTGACTGGCCACCTCGAACAGTCTGTTGGCAACGGCCTCATAGTCGAACTGTTTCACAAAGAGACACCATGGAGGCAGAGTCAGTCCCCTCCCAGTGCTCCCAGAATGTGAACCGAGCAGAGAGAAAGCACTTGGACCATGTGCGGATCCTCTGCTCAGGTCACAAGGACATGATGTCCTCCCACTGTCCCCTCAGCAAACTCTGACTGTCTACAGCCCAAGACGCAGCAAACGGGCTCCAGGGCAGGGCCGCCTAACAGAAAGGTGAGGGGCCGCCAAAGCGAGCCTCTCTGCAGCTTCCAATCCTCCGGCAGCCACAGCAAAACGAGTAGGAAAAAAACAAGTACCGTTACTTTTGATACATTTTATTTAACCGAATACATCCAACATCTTAATTCAATAAGTAATTAACATTTAAAACTTATTAGTAAGTATTCCGCATCTCCAATCTGCCTGAAATCATAGACCCTGTCCGCTGAGCTCTAACTTCGAGCAGGACTGAATGCTGACCCCTCAGCATGCACCACCTCATTTGCCCCCGATCCCATGAGGCGGGCCAGGCACAGCTCTGGGGTGGCTGATGAGAGGTGAAGCCAGACTAGAGGGCATGCACGCCTGCCTCTGAGCCCGGTCTCCCAGCCCCCAACCCCATTTCCGAGGACTCGTGCTCTGGAGCACCTGCCTTCCTCCACCTCTAAGCTGCCCGCCAGCTCTGCCAGCTTCTGGAGCCGGCAGTGGAGTGGAGGGCAGAGGGCAGAGGCTGAGAGCTCAGCCCACAAGCCCATGCCGCTCACCTGGAGGACGGGGCCAGTGCTGTCCTCGTCGTCTTCTGCCTGCTCCTCGTCCACGTCAGGTTCAACCCCACGGACAGAGCCTAGAAGAAAAGAGGCCCTTTGAACTCAGAGACGTGCACCTGGTGTCGCAGGGCCCCAATACAAACCCCTGGGGACCAAGAGCCCCATCTGCCAGGGCCCACGACCCAGGCAGAACACGACAGTGTAGGTTGGAGAGAGCCCACCGCACAAGACGGCAGGGGGACACTGACAGTCTCGTACCAAAGGGAGCGGTGTCACCACAAGCCTGCAAACAAGGGACATGTTGCAGTGGAAGTGGTGCCTGACCTTAAAAAGAGGAATTACGAGTGGGCATCTTAGGCAGCAAACGTAGTGTCAGAAGTTCCAGCAGTAAGGAGGAGACTAGCTAGTCCAGCCACGACACGGGCCTGGATCAAGGGACCGTGGGATATGAAGCTTCAAGTGAGGAACCTGACACCAGGCCGGACGTCTGGGGCTTTGATGTCACTGCCTAGAGAGGAAAGGTTCTGGATGACAGGTGGCCATGAGGAGCAGCTGCATGTCGTGGAAAATGAGGACAGCAGGGCAGAAGGTGGCATGGGTGGGCCCGCCAGGAGACGCCTGGGTCAGCCTGTGCCGGGTGACTCAGGCTACTGAGAGTGAGAAGGGAAAGGGAGGGACAGGTCAGATGCACCCGACGGCCAGGTCAAATCCTGGGGGAGGGGAGGCGTGACTAACAAGAGCTGAGGGGCACACCAGCAAGGGCATTAAGAGGTGGAGGGGCAGAAATTAACCCTGGCATCTACGGTCAGATGACCCCCACAAGGGCGTCAGGACCATTCGCTGGGGAAAGGACAGTCCCTTCAACTAATGGTGCTGGGAAAACTGGATCTCCACGTGCAAAGGAATGAACTGGACCCTTACCTTACATCATATACAAAAATTAGCTCAAAATGGATTAAAAACCCACACGTAGAACCTCAAACTAGAAAACTCAGAAAAAACATAGGACAAAAGCTTCACGACATTGGATTTGGCAATGACTTCCTAGATATGACACCAGAGGCACAGGCAACAAAAGAAAAAATAGACAAAGTGGACTTAATGAAAACTTTTAAATTTGGGGAATCAAAAGACACTATCAACAGAGTAAAAAGACAGCCACAGAAAGGAGAAGATATTTGTAAATCAAATATCTGACATATTTAATGACAAGGGGTTAATATCCAGAATATATAGAGAACTCCTACAACTCAACAACCCGAATCAAAAATGGGGGAGGACCTGGAGAGACCGTTTCCCAAAGAAGACATACAAATGGCCAATGAGCACACGAAAAGATGCTCAACACCACTAAACATTAGGGAAAAGCGAATCACAACTACAGTGATACCAGCTCACATCATGGGGATGGCTACTACCAGAAAAACAGAAAACAATAAATGTTGATGGGGTGTGGAACCCTTGTGCATCGCCGGTGGGAATGTAAAATGGTGCAGCTGCTGTGCAAACTAGTATGGACGTTCCTCAAAAAATTAAACCTAGAACTACCATACAACCCAGCAATTCCACTTCTGGTTATTTAGCCAAAAGAACTGGAAGCAGAGTCCCAAGGAGATATTTGTACATCCATGTTCCTCACCGCGTTACTTGCAATAGCTAAAACACGGAAGTAACCCAAGTCCGTACACGGATGAAGGGATAAACGAAATGTGGTCTTATCCATACAACAGAACACTACCCAGCTTTAAAAAGGAGCGCAATTCTGACACATTCTACAGCATAGATGAACCTTGAGGACATTTTGCCGAGTGAGATCAACCAGTCACAAAAGACAAATACTGTTATGATTCCCCGTTGAGGTTCTTAAAATCGTCAAATTCATAGAGATATAAAGGAGAACGATGGGTGCCGGGGGCTAGGGGAGGGGATGGGGAGTTAGTGTTCAATGGGGACAGAGTTTCAGTTTGGGAAGATGGAAAGTTCTAGAGATGGATGGTGGTGATGGCTGCACATCATGAATGTATTTAATGCCACTGAACTGTACACTTAAAAATGGCTAATATGGGGCCGGCCCCGTGGCTTAGCGGTTAAGTGCGTGCGTTCCGCTCCTGGCGGCCCGGGTTCGGATCCCGGGCGCGCACCGATGCACCACTTCTCTGGCCATGCTGAGGCCGCGTCCCACATACAGCAACTAGAAGGATGTGGAGCTATGACAAACAACTCTCTACTGGGACTTTGGGGGAAAAAATAAATAAATAAAATTAAAAAAAAAAAATGGCTAATATGGTGAACTTTATTGTCATGTGTATTTTACCACAATTAAAAAAAAAAGTAGAGGCGAGGAACAGTCCTGAAGCTGGAGGACGACAGGTCCCCTACAGCCATAAAACAAGATACGTGGTGCACAGGCCACCCAGTGGAGTCCGCCACATGAGACGACCTGACGTCCGGCAAGGACCTACATTAGCATCATGACTGGAACAGAACAGACCAGACACCAATGCTGCCAGAGCACCACAGGCCCTGCCTCCAAAGCCCTTTAGTGGGACGTTTACCATGGTATGTCCTGTTCATTCCTTCACTCATCTACCCTATCTACTGGGTGCCTCCTCTGTGCCAGATACTACAGTGGGGACACAGGGATTTCTGTCCTGCTGGAGCTGACATCCTGTGGCGGGACTCAGGCTGGGAACAACGAACAAGAGATTTATGCAACTTTAAGCAATTTACCAGCGAACCCAGCAAGTGAGGCAGGGTGGGGCTGGGAGGCTGCACTTTCAACAGGGTGGTGGGAGTATGGCCCCAGTGACAGAGGGCGGAGACCAGTAGGGAGGGGTGAGGGGGGAAGCAGAGGGCGCAGGGGATCAGAGAGAAGCCTGAGGGGAGTCAGGAGGGCATTGTGAGAACCCCGGGGGCCACGGAACCAGGGTCCGGAGAGTGAGCAACACGTATGCTTCTTGTTAAAGCATAACTGCCCCTGGCTGTTGGGCTGAGAGCTGACTTTGGGGACGAGGGCAGAATGAGGGAACCAGACAGAAGGGGAAGGCAGAGATCCCAGGGAGAGCCGCTGCCGGCTCAGACCAGGCCGAGCGCCGTCACATCCCGACGCATCGTGCTCCTCACCTTTGGGTGGCTTCTTCAACGGCACGGCCTGCTCCCGCTCCTGCTCCTCACCCCCCGACATCTCCTCGTCGCCCTCCTCCATCTCCTCCTCTTCCTCCAATTCCTTCATTAGGTCTTCGATGGCAAACGGGGCCTGTTCCACGATCGTTTCAAAGATGCCTCGAGTGATGTTATGCAAAACCAGGGAGCTGAAAGGGCAGCAGGCACGAAAGCAGGCCCATCAGGCTGGACGCTCAAGGGAAGAAACTTGTGCCCATCTGTCCCCAACCACTGCCCAATGGCCTCCCTTGGTGACCCTGTAACGAGTACACAACTCATCCTCTCTTCCTGAAAGGGAACAGTGATTTCCAAAAGGCAGTCACCCTGAAGAAGACAATGAAAGAGAAGAGGCAGGCCGGAGGGCGCCCCCTGACACTTACTCCTCGGTCTGGGCAGCGATTCTGCAGAAGGGATCAATAAACCTGAGGTTCTGCTCGGCCGTCAGCTACAGGGAAAGGAGGCAGGGGCGCTTCAGTTTCCTGTTCGTGAACACCCGGTGACAAGCCCAGCTGCCGCCCTCACCCCAGCTGCCCTCACCTGGTCAGCGCCCACTTTGGTCAGCTCCTCCAGGAAGATCTCGATGAAGTGGCTCTTCACCCCGTTGGGGGCCTGGCTATCAGGGTGCAGGATCTCAGTCATCAGCAGCTCCAGCAGCTGTTCGGTCTGTCTGAGAAAAGAGAGAGGCAAACACGGCAGGTGGCCACGTCAGGCAACGAGTGGTGTGCCCTCTACCGGAGCGGGGAGCTTCAACGGGAACGTCATCACAGGCAGGCACCCCATCCTCCAACATGTCAGCACCCTCACCACACAGGTGAACACCCCACGATCTGGGTCCGCTCCAGCACAAAGGACTCTTGCAATTACCAATGTACGTGACCACTGCCAGCACCAGCACATACATCACGACTGAACCTCAGCTACAAGGCACAAGATGTGTAAAGGTTCACACAGGCTGCCCTTTCTGTCCTCAAGACCACACTGGAGGGACAGAGGCTTGGTGCCACAAGAAGCTACCTCCACACTTCACGTCTCTCTGCTGTGCTCACTGGGAACTGCTCAGGAAGGCACGTCACGACAGAGCAAACGCAAAGAAAGGAGACAGAGGCCAGGGAAGGGGATGGGCTTGCTCCCCGGCTCTGCTGCACCAAGTACACGGACTGCGACACGTTATGACAGAGCTCCCGCTGGCATGCTGCTTCAGTGGTCTCAGGGGCTCCGAGTTCTGAGGTCAGGGAGCTCCACAGACCAGGCTTCAGTGGTCTGGATGCATCTGAGACTCCTGGGCGCTGGGCAGCACACAGACCCCTACAGCTGAGTGTAACACGCATTCCCTAAAACGCTCCCTGGACCACGCTGACGCCTGGCAACGCTGGGGAGTCACCGACTCTGGAAAGGAAAAGGGATGTGTCTACGGCTCAGGAAAAAGGAGACGAGGCCAGATCAGGTGCAAGAGACTGCCTCCTGGGCTACCGACAACACTAACAGACCTTTACCCAAAAGACAGGCTAGTTACGGGTGCTTAAGAATGGAGAGGGGCTAGAAGAGCAGATCAAACTAGTCCCACTGGTTACCCAGAGCAATGGGAGGTTACCAGCTTCTTCAAAATGACCTTTGCGTTGAATTACTAGTGACAAGGATGACACAACTACTTTTGCAATAAGCCAAAAAAAAGTTAACCAGAATAAAATCGTCCCTTTAACATTTAATTCTGCTTCAGTCGCTGGCCACCTACTGGGTACCCCACAGACCTGTCCTGAGACGAGTGAGACTCAGGGCCTCAGGTCCTCCAGCGAATTTAAGAATGAAAATCACTAACAACCAGAGGCCCTTCTGCTCTAAATGTAAGGTCACCCACAGTAATTCTAAACTCAGAAAAATCCAGGTAACTACAGCCCAACTCCTGCTGACCTTTTTTACATGGGGGGAAAAAAGTGGGCCGGGGGCAAGAATTTGTTAACTCTGCTATCCAGATGATAACAAGTCCTGTAATAACAGGGCCCTCGGCCATACTCTCTATTTTGACATCAGGTACTAGTTTTAGTATCCATATACTTGAAATCGACCCCTTTAACGTACAATTCTTAATTACAAATCAATTCAAAATATATTCTTTCTAAGCCCCTCTCCCCCTGCCCCCCAAAAAAGCAGGCACAGAACACTGACACGGGACGTTTTTGAAGCGTCGTCAGTTAAACAAAATAAAAACATCATGTTCGATACGATGCCACTTTTGTACCATACGCACAGAACAGTGCAACATTTTGAAAGTAATTTTATCTGTTGGAGTTAAAATTGCTTTTTAATGCTTTATAAAAGTTTCTGCATTCTTTATACTGAGTATGCGTCACTCGTAACTAGAAAAAATTCATAAAGAAACAAACTTTTAAATTAACTTTAAAACCTTTAAAAAGTGAACACTCATGGGCCGGCCTGTGGTTTAGCGGTTAAGTGCTCGCGCTCCGCTGCTGGCTGCCCGGGTTCGGATCCCAGGCGCGCACTGACGCACCACTTCTCCGGCCATGCTGAGGCCGCGTCCCACATACAGCAACTAGAAGGATGTGCAGCTATGACACACAACTATCTACTGGGGCTTTGGGGGGAAAAATAAATAAATAAAATTAAAAAAAAAAAAAAAGTGAACACTCAGAAACCCACTTTGTGTTGTGGATCTCGGACTGCCCGTAACTTGGCCGCAGAGCTTCAGGTGCCCTAGCAGCAGCTCCTGGCAGCAGGAGCCCTTCCCGCCCCTGCTTGGGCCCTGGGGGGGTCTCCGGGAGGAGCTGGGGGAGGAGCTAAGGCCCAGCAGAGCCCAGCCCCAGCCCACCTGCAGTGGCAGGATTCCAGCCAAATGCTCAGTGCAGCAGAAGCCTGAGGTCAGCCAGAAGATGCAGGCCCCTTACAGTCTGGCGGACACCAACCACGCCACCACAAGCACCACTGTCAAAACAGAGAAGTCTGCACGAATTAAATACTTCTAGAACCAGGAGCAACTACCACCATTAACAGAACAGAATATGCCACGTTTTACCAAAAACCTCCTTAGCTGTGCATTCTTTCTAACGAGAGGACTCAATTCTGATTCACAATAAGAACTGACTACCAAGATTGTCAACGTTTTCATGAACACATGCATGAACTATAATTTTAAAAATGCTTTCATTTTAAGCAGCACCGGGTCACCCTTTAATGTAAAGGCTGACATCTCCCTTATGACAAATAATTAAAAGAGAAACACGTGAACCTAACGCCCCTGTGACAGCAACCTGGACTAGCCCGTGAGCAGCAGACTGCTCAGGACGCACCATGAGTACCCACCTCTCTTCCCATCCTCGTGTCTTCAGGGCCGTCAAGGACTCATTCAGGACCATCCGCATGAGCTGTGGCACAAAAGGAGACCCATGAGTGGGAGCACAACCCAGACCTCCCCTCTGCCCCCTTGGTCATCTGTGTGCCCCAAAGGGCATAGCAGGCTCTCCAGAGCTGTTGGTGGACAGGACACCAAGCCCTCGGGACCCTGGGCCCTGAGCACGTGCCACTGCACTGGGGCTGAGATGCCCCAACTTTCCCAGAGCACCAGAAAGTCAGGCTCACAGTAGATACAGCCAGGCAGCAACTGCAGCACCGTAAACGAGAGCTGAACCAGAAGGGCCCCTGTGTCGGAGTGAGAAAAGGGAATGAAGCACAGGTCCCCCACGGGTGAGAGCCTCTTGGAAAATCCTGACCTTTCCTGGGACTTCTCCCCATGACAGAGAGAGAAATGGTTCACCTTCTCTGCTCACCCGCATTCCCTCACTTCCCCTTCACAATGGCTCACGGCATCTCTGGCCCAGTTTTCCCACCTTCCAGATATTTTTTAGTGTGTGTGAGGAAGATCAGCCCTGAGCTGACATCCGTGCTAATCCTCCTCTTTTTGCTGAGGGAGACCAGCCCTGGGCTAACATCTACTGGCAATCCTCCTCCTTTTTCTCCCCAAAGCCACAGTAGATAGTTGTATGTTATAGTTGCACATCCTTCTAGTTGCTATACGTGGGACGCGGCCTCAGCACGGCCAGAAAAGTGGTGCGTCAGTGCGCGCCCGGAATCCGAACCCGGGCCGCCAGCAGCGGAGCTCGTGCACTTAACCACTAAGCCACGGGGCCAGCCCTCCCACCTTCCAGATATTAACCCAACATGGCTGCAGAGGGGTCCCGTCATGGTAAAAGGCCATAGAGGACACGTACAGAGCACACTGAGCAGCCAAGACGCCATTCTCCAGGGTCATTAGAAGCGCATCTTACATCACTCCCTGCCTGCAGGGCTGTCAAGAAGGTGGGCCTTTATAGGGGGCTGTGCTGCCAGATGTGGTCACACAGGGGGACGTGGAAATGGGTCTCAAAAGCAACAGAACCCATCCTATCAAAGGGCCCAGCGACTGCACCTTGGAAACCATGTGCTGACTTACGAACTCCTGTCCTGTAAGCTTGTTTCTGTAAAAGTGCAAAGCCTGGCCCTGGCCCCGCACCCGCCCCAAACGCTTCAGCATCCACCTTCCCTCCCTCTTGAGCGCCGTGCCTGCCCACCACCTGGTCCTCGCTTCAGCAACATCTGACCTCACTCACTGTCCACATAACCCCAGCCCGAGTCTGGCCTGGTGGCTGAGCCAGAGTGGCAGATCTCGAGTGACTGCAGCCCCAAGGGCTCCCCGTCCTCACTGAGGCCCGGCCACTTGTCCCCATAGGGTCACCTGCTCTCAGACAGCAACCCTGCCCCTTCATCGGAGGACTGTCCCAAGTCCCAGTGAACACTGTTCTACTAACAGAACTGCAGTTTCGGGCCGGCCCAGTGGTGTAGTGGTTAAGTTCGCGTGCTCTGCTTCAGCGGCCTGGGGTTCGCCAGTTTGGATCCTGGGTGCGGACCTACTCACCGCTTATCAAGCTATGCTGAGGTGGCGTCCCATATAAAAGAGCTACAACTCTACAACTATGATACACGACTATGTACTGGGGCTTTGGGGAGGAAAAAAAAAGAGGAAGAATGGCCAACAGATGTTAGCACAGGGCCACTCTTCCTCCAAAAAAAAAAAAAGGAAAAAACCCAAGACTGCAGTTCAGCAGGGGAAAGGGGGAGCAGCAAGATACCGAGTCCGTAAAACCCAGTTTTTCCTGCATTTCTGAGGGCAATTCAGTAACCTGAATTCACAAGAAGGAGCACTGGAAAGGAGAAGGGAAAAGGTGATTCTGCATACGACAATTATACTAATTGTCCTTGCCCAGAAGAAAACATCCTCAGAGGCCGGGACCCCACCAGCAGACCCAAGGGTCTCCGTCTAGGGCACGAGCCCACACAGCTTTGCAGGCGCTCACAGGCTCTCGGCTTCTTCCGCAGGGAAGCGACGGCTTCACCACCGATTCTCTCCTGAAGGGCAATTTTAACCCTCCTCTGAACTACTTTTGTGTAGTGTTTTAAGGACTGAATTCTTTGCCCACTCACCAACCCTCAGAGTCGGGGCAAATACTGCAAAATCCTAGGCATTTGCACCCCAAGCAAGGCCTAAGCCCCCATGATGGCCCACTAGGCTTCCAGGTCACAGTCCTCAGGGTCACCGCACCACCCAGAAGACTTCACCGGCTGCACTGTCAGGGTGGGGAAGGCTCAGAGGCCAGACCACTCTCTGCTGCGCTCCTGGCCCCCACTCCCTAACTCGGCGGGGCAGCAACGACAGGGTGCTGGGTGCTCAGACCTGTTCCCCACACCCGCCGTGCTGGCTCTGCAGGGGCACCCTGGCAGGAGAGCACGCAGCTGCCTCACCATGTAGAACTTATCCAGCCGCAGTCTGTCTATGCCCGTCCACTCACGATTCATGGTTTGCCAGAACGTCTGAAGGAACAGGAGCTCTGCAGGAGAAAAAGAGGCCAAAAGAAACTCACAGAGGCACACAGAAGCCGCGCTGCGAAGCGAGGTGAGGGATCATGAAGGAACCTGGTCAGGACGTCACGTGCCACCCACCTATGGGTTCTCAGCCCGAGTCTGCAGAGCTGAGAAGCAGTGCTATGGATCTGGCTTAGAAATGGGCTCTGAGGAACCTCAGAGAGAGAAGCAGAGCCCAGCTACCACCCCAAACTGCAGCCACATCCTCTGAAGAACAGGGGCACAGAGCAAGCTGAACCACTGGCAGAAGGGCCACTTCCTCCCCAGGCTGAGGACCTGCCTGACACCCACCCCTGACCTCATGACTTGCCCCACTAGATCCACGAACCCAAGCAAGCACAAAACCCTGCTGATAATGGGTATGTCAGACGCAGAGTGCTATGGGGACATATCCCCAGTCCCTCGGAATATGACTTTATTTGGAGATAGGGTCTTTACAGAGGTAATTAAGATAAAATAAGGTCACTGGGGTGGGCCCTAATCCAATGTGACTGGCATCCTTATGAGAAGAGATCAGGACACAGACGGATGACTGTGTGAGGACACAGGGAGAAGACAGCGTCTACATGCCAACATGGAAGGAGGAAGGTCTTAGGAGAAACCAGCCGCACCAACACCTCAACCTCAGGACACAAACAGGGCATCTCTTATCTCCCGTTACAGGCTTCCTCAACAGCAAAGCTTGATCAGATGGTTCAGTAAGGGACAGGCCTGCGTTCACTAACTCATTCAAGCGTCACCTGGTGAACACTTTGTACTTGGCCTTTTGTTGAGCACAAGAACTTTTCTGTAGATTCTTAGAAGGTATAAGTTGTGGAGGATAATCTCCTCCACTAATTACTCAAATGCAGTTAGAGACTCTCCCAAACTGGGAAAGCAGCAACTGTAACTCTTTGCACACCCCCTAATTTTGACTACTTTGCCTACTTAAGTATAACTGAACTAAACCCTCCCACACAGCCAGGGGCATCACCAGCAACGGTCCTAGTGGTCTATCTAGTGGTCTATGCCAGTGATGCTGCCCAGCCCTGCTGCCCTCGGAGCACTGTGGGGAGGCTGCAAATGCTGGTGCCCAGGCCCCACCCCCAGAGCTTGATCTGACGGGCCCAGGGTCTGGACATCAGGATTTCTAAAGACTCCCAAGTGATTCCAACAGGCAGGCAGCAGGGCGGAGAACTGCTGATCTTGGTCAGGACAAAAAGAGCAGAGTTAGAAAACCGCATGACAGGAATTCACAACTATCGGGTGACATTCAGTCAAAGAGCTCGGTAACACCATCCAGCTTTCCATTTCAATTTTAGAATGTAAGATATCAGCCCTTTAGATTATTGAGCTGAATCTATTTTGGGTAACTGAGTTAATGCGTGTTGGACACTCAGGAACAGTGTTTCACACATAAGCACCAGCAGAAGCCAGCTAGAACAGGGACCTCTCTTGCCCTAGATCTTAGAACACAAGCCTGTGTCTGGTAGCTGACTCGCAGTGATTCTGGCCTTACAAAGGCCTTACCCCTGGCCAGGATACTCACGTGCCTCTGTGCTCCGAAAAGCGTGCATGAGCTGGGAAATGGTCCTGCTTAGTTCCTCCTGTGCAGGAAACAGTAAAAACTCCCTCAGTCCCTGAAGAAAGGTGGTCTTACAACCACAAGCAAAAGCAGAAAAACAAACATACTCAACTGTCCACTCATCACGAGAACCACTTCCGCTGGCTCTTTCAGCCCAGTGTGCTTGAGGTTTGCAAGGTTCACCCCTGCTGGGAAAAGCCTCCCCTACAGCTGGGGCCAACAGAGCCTCAAAACAGGAAAGGGCAGTAACTGCCCTGAGGATGGAGGCTGAGCCCGGAGCAAGAGGCCGACTGTCAGAGGAGGGGGTGGCAGGGAGCAGGGAACCACCTGACCAGCAGAAAGAGGGAGCCGACCAGACCCTGCTAAATTGCTCCCTGCCTTGCTGTATCACTGTGCCAAGCGTCACCTGGCACACACTGACTGCAGAGACGATTCCAGAGCCTTCCCGGAGAGACCCCAGCTTAGAAGGCATGGAACACAGCGCAGGGATCCACATTTTAAACAAGTACCTCACCACCCAGGCGATTTTAAAGAAGAGTAGACAATGCACATTCTGAGACACACTGCTCTAAAAAGGCTAGCATTTTAGGGCAGTGAAACTACTCTGTGAGATGCCACAGTGGTGGATTCGTGTCATTATACATTTGTCCAAACCCACAGAACACACAGCACGGGTGAACCCTAATGGAAACTGTGGACTCTGGGTGACAAAGATGTGTCAATGCAGGTTCATCAATTATAACAAACGTACCACTCCGGTGGGGGATGTTGATAGTGGGGGAGGCTGTGCGTGTGTGGAGGCAGGAAGGATATGAGAACTCTCCGTACCTTCCTCTCAATTTTGCTGTGAAGCTAAAACTGCTTTAAAAAACCAGAAAAAAAAACAGGCTAGTGGGAGAAATCCTTGTCTCAGGAGACCTGGATTCTATGCCTTGGTTTCCATCGTCTCAGCGCTCAGTCTGCAATCTCTGACAAACACAAAGCAGATACCTGGGTTCTCAGCCACGCCGTGACCGCGCTGCCATCAGCTGCGTCGCCATGGTGCACAACTCAGCAAACGTAAGACACACTCTAACCACAGGCCCAGGCCGTCTGGCCACAAAAAAAAAGCATGGAAGCTGTGAAACTCCATCCAGCATCTGTGGCTACATTACAACGAGGGCCGAGCACGTGCCCACCTGTCCTCCCACTGACACCCCTGCTCCAGCTTCTTCCGCTACCTTCCCACACACTCACCTGGAGGAGGGGCTTGTCCTGCATCCACATGCAGTAAAACAGCCCTTTCCACACCTTCAGCAGCTCATCGTGAGTGAAACCACCTGCACCAAAACAGCAACACTCAGACTAAGTGAAGCCAGCCCTTCAGCGCCAGGAACGAGGCCAGAGAAATGGGACCGCCTGAGTCAGACCCAAGTCTTCCTATCGAAAAGGCACCTGGCCTTCCCCTCTCAAGCCGTCCTCCGGACTCAGAACTTGCCGGGCCTGTGGCTATAGGGCCTCCCCCAGGTAACTGCCACTTCATTCACTCAATAAACACTGAGAATCTCACGTATCAGGCACATTACTCCGTTTTTGGAGATTCAGAATTGAGTGAGCCACCATCTCCTGAGCTGGATGGTGGCGACACGGGCGAACTTGTTGGTGATAATGCATCCAGCGTTACACTAGGAGTTTGTGCACTTTTCTGTTATACCTCAAATTTTAAAAGGAAAAGTCAACTCATTCAGGCTAGTAACATAAAACCACTCGAAATATTTACTTAGGTCCTAACTATGTGTCTGGCACGCTGTTCCTGGAGCAGTGGATCTCAGACTTGAGTTCTCGTACGGAAATCACCTGGAGGGCTTCTCAAAACACAGAGCGCTGGCCCTACCGCCGGGGTTTCTGATTCAGCAGGGCTGGGACGGGACCCAGAATTCGCAATGCTAACAAACGTGCAAGTGATGGTGATGCTGAGGCTGCTGATGGGGGGCCACCGTTACAGACAGCAGATAACAAGCAGCTTGTTCTCTGCCCTCGCGGAGCGTAGAGTACAGTGAAACTCAGGCGACAACCCAATAATTACACAAAGAGAAAGCTACCAACAGCGACAACTGCGCTCGGAGAGAAAAATACGGGATGCCCAAACAGTGGGCACCGGTGTATACGGTCTGAG